GTCTTAGAGGAGGGATAGGCAGTCGTTATAGTCCCATCCAATGGCCAAGAGGGCAAAGCCCGCTGATTCGAGATCGGGAGGTCAGAAGGGCCACAATTGTGGGAAGTGCAGCAAAAGACATGATGGGATGTGTAGTTTAGGTGTGTGTTACAACATGTAAATTTAATATAAAAGAAGCAAAAAATCATTAGAATGAGATCTTTATATTTCTGAAGAGATAAAAGTGGGAAATTTACCAATATAATTTAATCAAAATTTATAATGGGTTGAAAGGTAAGAAAACATATCCCAAACAGAGGACTAAAATCAAAGAGAAACTTAGGAAATATGTACATACGTTTTATAAGATTAATACAACAAACACAAGCTAAATAATGTTATAATTTTTGTGTAGGTTCTCGGAAAGGAAAGGATCCATCTTGCTCGTGCTAGTTAATTTTCAGGATCAAGGAGGTGAGTACTAACTCTCCTATTATGTAGGCATTACTTGTTTTATGTTATTGTTAACAGATACTCTAATAACATGTGATTATGTGTATCTAATCACAAATGATTTATGTGGCTAGTATTCTTTTTCGTGTTCTCGATTCAACAATTGTTTTTTTTCACTTTAATCATATGTGATTAAATACATTTAATCATTTGTGATTATATGTTTCTAATCACATATGATTTTATTTGGAAAGAACAAATCTTGTCTATTTAAATCATATATGATTAGATACATACAATCACATGTAATTATACACACGATAACAAATATTGAACCAAGAACACGAAAAAAAATCTTTATCTAAATTAGTCATATGTGATTAAATACATATAATCACATGTGATTATATGAATCTAATCACATATGATTTGTGTGGACATAATTCATTTTTGATTTGTCTATTCAACAATTGTTCTCATGTATTTTATCACATGTGATTATATGTATAATCGTATGTGATTAAGTACATGAGCACAACTATTGAATCGAGAAGAAAAAAATGAATCTTGTCCACCTCAAATCCTATATGATTATATACATATAATCACATGTGATTAACTACACAAAAGCAATTATTCAGTCGAAACCACAAAAATAAATATTGTATACATAAATCATATTTGATTAAATACATATAATCACATGTGATTGTATGTATCCAATCATATATGATTTATGTGGATGAGATTCATTATCACATTCTCGATTCCATAATTGTTCTTTGTCCACTGTAATCATATGTGATTAAATACATATAATCATATGTGATTATATGTATCTAATCACATATGATTTATACGAACAAAAAATAATGATGTCTATATAAATCATATGTCATTAGATACATATAATCACATATGATTATATAAACAAGAACAACTATTGAATCGAGAACACAAAGATAAATATCATCCATATATATCATATGTGATTAAATGCATATAATCACATGTGATTATATGTATCTAATCACATAGAATTTATGTGGAAAATATTCATTTTTGCGTTCTCAATTCAATTGTTTTCTTGTGTGCTTAATTACATGTGATTATATATGTCTAATTAGATATGATTTATTTGGACAATATTCATTTTCACATTCTTATTCAATAATTATTCTGGTACATTTAGTCACATATGATTTCTGTACATAAGATTATTTTTCGCGTTTTTGATTAAATAGTTTTTCTTTTTCCACATTAATCATATGTGATTAATACATACAATCACATATGATTAAATACATAAGAAAAAATATTGACTCATGAATATTATCACTATAAATTATATGTGATTTGATACATATAATCACATGTGATTAGGTACATGAGTACAACTATTGAATTGAGAAAGAAATAATGAATCTTGTCCACATAAATCATATGTGGTTAAATACATATAATTACATGTCATTAAATATATTAGAGCAATTATTGAATCGACGCAAGAATAAATATTTTCCATACAAATCATATGTGATTAAATACACAAGAACAACTATTGAATCAACACGTGAAAACAAATATTATCCATGTAAATCATATGTGATTAAATATTTATAATCACATGTGATTTAATACACAATGCCAATTATTAAATCGAAAACACAAAAATAAATACGGCCCACGTAAATAATATTTTATTAAGTACTTATAATCACGTGTAGTTATATGTATCTAATCACATATAATTTACGTGGACAATATTCATTTTTGCGTTCTCAATTCACTAGTTTTTCACGTGTATTTAATCATATGTGACTCGATACATACAATCACATGTGATTATATACAAGAGAAAACCTAATGAATCAAAAACATAATAACAAATCTAGGTAGGTGGGGGTGGGGGTGGTGGTGGCAGCGGATGGTAAAGGCGTGATGGTGGTGATTGGTGGTGGTGGTGTGTGGTGATGGGTGGTGGTGGGTGGGTGGTTCCAAGTGGTGGTGATAGTGACAGGTGGTGGTTTTGGTGGGTGGTGGGTAGGTGTGGGTGGTGGAGGTAATTCATTTTTTCTTTGTGATTATATGAATCTAATCATATATGATTAAATACATATAATCACATGTGATTATGCATCTAATCACATATGATTTATGTGGATATAATTCATTTTTGCTTTTTCGATTCAATAGTTGTTCTCATGTATTTTATCATATGTGATTATATGTATAATCGTATGTGATTAAGTATATGCGCACAACTATTGAATCGAGAAGGAAAAGATGCATCTTGTCTACCTCAAATCATATATGATTATATACATATAATCATATGTGATTAATTACACAAGCAATTATTCATTCGAAACCGTAAAAATAAAAATTGTAAACATAACACATATATGATTAAATATATGTATATTATATATATATATATATATATATATATATATATATATCTATATATATCTATATATATATATATATATATATATATATATATATATATATATATAATCACATGTCATTATGTGTATCAAATCATATATGATTTATGTGGATGAGTTTCATTGTCACATTCTTGATTAAATAATTTTTCTTGGTCCACTGTAATCATATTTGATTAAATATATATAATCATATGTGATTATATGTATCTAATCACATATGATTTATATGACAAAAAATAATGATGTCTATATAAATCATGCGTGATTAGTTACATATAATCACATATGATTATATACACAAGAACAACTATTAAATCAAGAACACAAAGATAAATATTATCCACATATATATCATATATGATTAAATGCATATAATCACATGTGATTATATGTATCTAATGATATAGAATTTATGTGGAAATTATTTATTTTCACGTTCTCAATTCAATTTTTGTTCTTGTATGCTTAATTACATGAAATTATATGTATCTAATTAGATATGATTTATATGGACAATATTCATTTTCACATTCTTGTTCAATAATTGTTCTGGTACATTTAGTCACATATGATTTCTGTATATAAGATTATTTTTCGCGTGTTTGATTAAATAATTTTTCTTTTTCCACATTAATCATATGTGATTAATACATACAATCACATATGATTAAATACATAAGAAAAAATATTGACTCATGAATATTATCACTATAAATTATATGTGATTTGATACATATAATCACATGTGATTAGGTATATGAGTACAACGATTGAATTGAGAAAGAAATAATGAATCTTGTCCACATAAATCATATGTGACTAAATACATATAACCACATGTGATTAAATATATTAGAACAATTATTGAATCGACGCAAGAATAAATATTTTCCATACGAATCATTTGTGATTATATATATATATATATATATATATATATATATATATATATATATATATATATATATATAATCACATGTAATTAAATACATAAGAACAACTATTGAATAAACACATGAAAACAAATATTGTCCATGTAAATCATATGTGATTAAATACATTTAATCACATGTGATTTAATACATGATGCTAATTACTAATCGAGAACACGAAAATAAATACGGTTCACGTAAATAATATTTTATTAAATACATATAATCACTTGTAGTTATATCTATCTAATCACATATGATTTACGTGGACAATATTCATTTTTGCGTTCTTGATTCACTAGTTTTTCACGTGTATTTAATCACATGTGATTATATGTATTAAACATAATATAAATCATATATGATTCAATATATATAATCACATGTGACTCGATACATATAATCACAAGTGAAAACCTAATGAATCAAAAACACAGTAACAAATCTTTGTAGGTGGCGGTGGGGGTGGTGGCAATGGGTGGCGAAGGCGGGAATGTGGTGATTGGTGGTGGTGTGTGTGGTGATGGGTGGGTGCGAATGGTGGTGATAGTGACATGTGGTGGTTTTGGTAGGTAGGTATGGGTGCACTACTAGAAAAACAGCCTTTTACGACGCTCATTGCGCGTCGTAAAAGGCTCAGACAACGCGCAAATGCATGTAAAGGAAGGCCCTGTCATAAAGAGAGACGACGCGCATTTACGACGCTCATTTATGATGCGCAATTACGACGCGCGTTTACGACAAACATTGCGTATCAAGAAAGGCCCTATCATAAAGGAAGACGACACGCATTCGCGTATCGTAACCTTATGACGCGCGTGTTAATGACAGGCAATGTGTATCAAGAAAGGCCATGTCATAAATGAAGACGACACGCATTTTTGCGTATCATAATTTTAAATGTTTAAAAAAAATATTATTTATAGATTTACTAATTTTCAAATTAAATTTGTAGTTAATATCTCATAATAGAAAATAAAATACCATATATAAAAAAAAATACAATCCATTGCATAATATAAAATAAAATTTCATACACAAAAAATAAAATAAATGGCACAAAATGTCATACAAATAATCATTCAAATGTTAAAAAAAATAATACATTCCTGTTCCTATAAAACTAACAAATAATCATCCAACTCTGTTTCTTACTGGAATATGTGTGTAATTGTCTCCTTCATCAGCCTCCATGTATTAGAAGCATCTTCCTCACCAGTTGCTTCAGATAACTCCAACTCCTCGTTATATCAGCATCCGACTTTTCTTGTGGAATTGAACAATCCCCAAAGCTTTTATCCATGTTTTCCTTACAAATCTTTCACATTATAAATTTGAAGTATTTAGACACATCCTAATATATATTGTTATATCAAAGGTTGAAAAAAGATAAAATAATACCATCATGACAAAACATGTTGTAATGAGGAATCAATGTGCAAAAGTAACTTTCAAAAAAGATGCAAGCATTGTTATTCAAAAAAGAAGATGAAGGGTAAAACGGTCATTTAGTCCTGTTTGCAGAAGATGAAGGGTAAAATGGTCATTTAGTCATAACATTCAAAAAATAAGCAAGCTTTGTTATTCAGATGTTGTAGAAGATGAAGGGTAAAATGGAGAATTGTAGTCAATGTATGTTTACTTCTTTAACTTCTAGACGAAGGGTAAAATGGTCATTTAATGTTATTCAGATGTTCAAAGAAGAAACAAACTTTTTGCACACAACTTTTAAGTGCTCCAGACATCATTAAGGTATGTCTGAGTGTTTTTTTATGTATTCTTTCTCATTAAGTTACTTATATAAATGATGTTTTACAAATTTTCCCTCGTTTAGTTTTGATCAAATTAGAAGTGAGCGTACCTTATCTTTACTTATTTGAATGTAACGAGTAACACCTCCAAAAGTGAAGTTATCTACACACACAAAGTTAGGTCCTGCAAAGTCTAGAATGACTCCATCTTCTCTGCCTATACCAATATGACTAACAAAAGGAAGAAGCCATGAAACAACAGGAAGAGGTGTCCATACAATGCAACATGGAAAACAAGATCTTGATGGATCAATTTGCATGTTATGTGCTGGAATCTTGTGATCGATCATCATGTTGTGGTTGTGTTCTGTATCTGATTCCAATTCCATTACAAGATCTGCACACAGTAGTATGTGAATTGATTAGATACAATTTGTCCGATTTATCATTTCTGAATCGAGCTTAAATTTATAAAATAAAGAATGCTAATCAGTTAATTCAACAACATTGACAGTCAGCACCATGTGTAAGAACATTGCCCTAATTTTCCATGGTCGACGAAGTACGAATTTTCAGATTTATTATTTCTCATTTGAGTTTAAAGCAACTCTCGGTAATGGCACTTCATTCAATCACTATCTATCAGTATAGTTGTTTCCATGGATGCATTACCTTTGCCCGCTGTCTCCTTACAAATTTCTTCAATTGATTTTGAAATGATCTTGTTTAACTGAAAAAAAAATATAAACAAATTTCTAAATTAGATTAAAAATGATAAACTTTAAAATTGTAGAGCACATGGTACTACCTTTCCAACTTTAAAGTCGGCTTTCGTCCCCAAATCATCCAACTTCACACAAGTAATATAAAATAGTATAAAATTGATTGATATTTGATATATTATTACAAGTGTATGAAAACCCATACTTTGAAGTATGTACCAAATCATCCAAAAAAAAAAAAAAAAAAAAAAAAAAAAAAAAAAAAAAGATTTACACTACTATAATTGGATACACTTTTCAAAGTGTATTTGTCCTAATAAGAAAAAAGAAAATATAATAATTCGAAAATATAATGCTATAGAATTCCTTGATTAGAAAAAATATAGGTCTGTTATAAAAATATGATCAAATAACAATATAAATTATAAAGTAAAGAAAGAAATAAGAGTAGAGAGAACTTTTATTCCAATACTTGTGATGAAATCATCAAGTGTGTTGGGATTAAAACCCTAATTAAGATTTGATGAACAAGATGCGGAAAATAAGAACAAACACAAATATGAAGATTATGTCGAATGATCACTCGATTTATTGAATTGTGAGGAACAAATTACACTTAAGAAAATAAGAATCTAACTCTACAAGAAACCTCACAACGTGGCGGCTACATTTTGCCTCACTCTCTTAACCCTAATAATGAATAATACATGACTATTTATAGGGAAAAGACAAGTCTTGGGCTTTTAACCTAGAATTCATCAAAGGGGCCCATTGCCATCATCCATGGAGTGCTTTGAAGCCCTACAATCTCCCCCTCAAAGTATGGAATGGATGACAATGCTTTAACTTCCAAAACAAGCATCTAGCAAATAAAAAGATCTGCAACGAGGAATATATGAAGCAATCCACGAATCTTGATTCTTCAATAGTCTTCAAACACGGGCTCTAGGATATATAAATCAAGCACTGAAGTAATGTCTTTAAACTTCATTTTCGAATGTAATCCCAAAGAATCTTCATGAAAACCAAACCCGCCATAAAAACCCATTTCAGAACAAAGAAACTGAATCACTTCTTGTCTTTGAAGAGCTCCCCCTCCAAGTCACAATGATCTTCAAATAAGCTAATGATATAAGCCATCAAAAAATATCATGTAACAACCCAAACTTTATGATTCGTAACGCCACTTGATCGAGAAAATACAAGAAGTCGGAGATATAACAAGTCCTTAGCAGAGCTCGATAAAGAACTTCCACTGTAAAGGATACTTCTCTGTAAAAGCTTTAGCAGAGCTCGATGAAGAACTTCCACTGTAAAAGCTACCTTCATAATTCTACCACAAGCTTTATCAAAAATCTTCAACTTTGAAAAGTCACAAATCCAATTTCGAATGACCATACCAAATTCTCCCCCGATTTATAATCAAAAACATGATTATAAAACCTTCAAATGGTCATGAGAATGATCTTGAATGGATAAAAATTTACTAAGCTCCCCCGCGACAAAATGATATACACAATGAAGTATAAAATCCGAAAAACTCGTGAAAATTTTGACGTTATCACGAAAAACGACTTTCCGAATCGCCAAGACTTGATGGAATCTTTATTTTTCTGTTCACGAAAAAAATATGTGCGTTAAAGAATTCAAAACTGTTCACCATCCCTTAAAATTGTAAACTTTCTCGAAAAATGGCTGAAATTATCACTTTTCAGAAACTCAGGGGCTGAAATTGTAATCATGCACCAATAAACCCCTTTATTTGCAACAGAATCTGGAATTGGTTCAAAACTGCCAAAGCATGAAAAGTATAGGGACCAGATCGTCAAGTTCTTGAAGTTGCAGGGACCAAGTGTGAAACTTTGAGTTATCTTCATCATTTGACACTGATAAAAAGATGCGACTGGAATGGTAATTTTAAACGAATGGTCACAGACGAACCTACAAATATGACTCCAATTAGTTTCATCTACTTTCGTTCCGAGCACAAGCGACTGAATCTAACTTCGTTCCAAGATCATAAATTATACACCCGAAGCGAACCCAACCGAGTGTTCGGTTCCATTTGTTTCCATTTGAGACATTCGCTTCCAGATCCGTTCCAAGCTTCATCAAGCGAATCACCTTTCGCTTTCGGTCCTTCCTCCGTTCGCTCCAACCATTAACAAGCGAACCCAAGTTCATTGTTCCAGGTTCGGTCCTAATTCATCAACATTACCCCAAGGCGAATCTCCATTCTTTCGTTCCAAGTGCTTTCATTCCAAGCAGAATCATGCAAACCCAAGTTAAATCGAGCCCATAAATCAATTCCAAATCCTTTCGCTTCTAATCAATCGACCACAGTTCCAATGCAAATCAATATCAACCACGAACCTAAATATTCCAAACTCTGAAAATTCGTGGGAGAAAACGAAGGCGAGCCCAGATTCCAATCGTTCACAGGTTGTCAAGCCCCAAATCAATGTCGATGCAAATCAGTGTGACCCTGAAAGCGAGCATTACAAGCACCGAATATACCAACAACAAACAGTCGAGTCAGAAACCGGTCTTAATTTGGACTCTCGTTAGGAGATAACTGCAACCCAGAATACCAGTGCCGATTCCTCGACCATTCGTAGGTAAGTTCATTCATATTGATTTTGACTTCCAAGGTTGACCAGTAAAAGTGAGTTATATGCTCAAATCATTCCGATAAGTTCCAATTTCGATTCCATTCGATCGCATTACACTTCCGATCACGAATCCGATTAAGATCGTAATCCTAATTTTGACTTTTTCTTGTTTGACTCTCCAAATAAAAATACAATCCAGTTCAACCGAATGACATCTGTTCATCATGAAACTTTAATGATTGTATTCAAGAATCACTCAATCTATTTTCCAAAGATCGATTTCATACAGGAATCATCATAAATTATCGAGTTAAAAAAAATGACTTCAAATCAACTGTATGAAAAACGAGGATAAATACGATCTGGGGTTTAAAACCAACAAAAATGTATTGTAATACAACCATCGACAAACAATAGCAGCAGACAATCATCGATTGTTAGTTTTGACAACCAAGGAAGAATCGAACATGATAAACTAAACCCCGCAGAAGAGACGCAACTGGAAACCATGATACTTGTTGGACAAAAAAATTGATTATGAACAGTGAAAGACCAAATATTTGGGCTAGATCAAGACAATAGAATCGATATTGATATTGGACTGAATTGTCAAACAGATCCAATCATAAATAGGAACAGAAAAATGAATCAGGTTAAAAGAGAACTACCCTGATGAATAGTAGATGAACATTAAATAAATACATAAGCCTCCATGAACAGTAGATAGAACAAAAATCTTGATTCCATACCGCCAAAACACAAAAAATCTTCAATAACTTGTGCAAAAAATCATCAAATCAAGAACCGATACTTCAAAAATCAATAGATCTTCAAAGACCCGCTCTGATACCACTTGTTGGGATTAAAACCCTAATTAAGATTTGATGAACAAGATGCGGAAAATAAGAACAAACACAAATATGAAGATTATGTCGAATGATCACTCGATTTATTGAATTGTGAGGAACAAATGATACTTAAGAAAATAAGAATCTAACTCTACAAGAAACCTCACAACGTGGCGGCTACATTTTGCCTCACTCTCTTAACCCTAATAATGAATAATACATGACTATTTATAGGGAAAAGACAAGTCTTGGGCTTTTAACCTAGAATTCATCAAAGGGGCCCATTGCCATCATCCATCAAGTGCTTTGAAACCCTACAAAGTGCCTAATACATATGGCTCACTATTTATACTATCAAAATAAGATGAAAGATGAGCTATAATATGAATGCACATTATGATGGTGTATTATTACATTCATAAAACACATTGAAATGGTTGTTACTAATGCTAAATAATGATGGGGAGTTATGGGAGAAATGGAGAATCCAATGGTCATTCACATATTTCATAACACTCCCCCTTGAATGACGATTGTATCATGCCTCGTTAAAACCTTAATAGGTAAAACCTCATGGGAAAAACCATTTATTAAGGAAAAAGAGTACATGATTAATAATAGATATTTGGAACAATTGCTTCGTTAAAAACCTTGCTAAGAAAACCCAGTGGGAAAAACATAGCTAAGGAAAGGAGTACAATATGTTTCCAACTCCCCCTGATCATCACATCACTTGATTTCCTTAAAGCGTCGCATTCCAATATTTCGTACCATGTTTTCAAATTTGGATGTAGGGAGTGCTTTAGTGAACAAATCTGCCAAGTTGTTACTGTTGGGTTTTGGTCATAAGACATCCTATGTGCTCATACAAACCCTAATGCTTGGATCTAGGTTTCTCTATTGTACATGCTTTGAATCCAAGACTATAAACCCTAATTCTAGCATGCAAGTAATCATATTAACATGTAATTAGGTTTAAGATCATACCTTGATTGTTATGTAGCAATAACAATCCCAATTCCCCTTGTATTGACTTTGGAATGCTTAGAGTCACAAGTGTCACTCCTCTAATGGTTCACAAACACCATAAGCAAGAGGATGAAGAGGAGAGAGGATGGAGGCTGCCAAAAACGTGTGTAAACCCTTACAAGATCATTAGCCACGTTTTTGAGCCATAAGGGGTCTTTATATAGTTGGGCTATTAGGG